ACAGTGTGGGCGGCGCCCCCGCGGCTCCTGGCACTGAGGGTGCCGGGTACACACTCACCGAGTCCGGAGGTGGCCGGGATGACCCAGTCCCCGGGTTTCAGAGCCGCCACACGACGCCCGACCTCCAGCACCTCCCCGACACCTTCATTGCCTCCCACAGCCGGCAGCGGGGAGAGGATGGCGTATGTCCCTGCCGGGAAGCGGGAGCTGAGCTGCAGACCTCCCCACAGCCCAGGCCTCCCCATGCCAGGTTCCACCTCCAAACCCTCCCCGACATCCCACCGGGAGCATCCCACAGGATCCAACACGCACAAAGGATGCAGCGGGAGCGGTACCTTGGATCATATTGATGTCGGCGGGATTGATGGGAGCTGCCAACATCTTGACGTGGACATCGGAGTCCCCCAGCTCCGCCACTTTAAGGTCCTTTAGTCTTAACAGGGAGACACAAAGGAAAAGTGCATTAATACAGGCTTGGCTGATGTCTTCTGCACCTTGGTTTAAGCTGGAGAGAGGTCATGGAATCAAGGACTGGTTTGTGTTGGAAGGGACCTTAAAGCTCCTCCAGCCCCCACCCCCGCCACGGGCAGGGACCCCTTCCACGAAAGCAGGTTGCTCCAAGCCCCTGTGTCCAACCTGGCCTTGAACACTGCCAGGGATGGGGCATTATCCTCTCTTAATGAGCAATTAGGATGATGAGGGAAGTTCAGCTGCTGGGTACAACCATGAGCCCTGACTTGGGTGCATTTTGCTCAAAACCATGTGGTTCTTTGGCAAGGTTCTGAATTATGGAGCCAGGCGTGTGTCCAGCATCCAAACAGGAACCAACCACCCCCCGGAATGAGCGGGATGAAGTTAGCTCCTTGCAAACCTGCTTTGAACCGAACTGCAAGGCTTTATTAGGAAAACACAGGGACTCCATCCTGGTTTAGGCTTGAAATAAATGAGCATTACAAGATGCAGGGGCCCAACCAAAGGCCTCAGCAACAGCATCTCCCCACTGTATATATTTTTCTGCCGTGATAGGCATTCGATTAAATCATTTTGGGGTTCTACCACCCTCTGCACATCCAACTACTTGAAATCCCTTCCTTTTTCCTAAAGGAGGTTAAACATTGGTTGAAGTTAACACCATGCAGCACCTCAGCCCTGAAGCAGCACCTTGGCCATGGACTGATTTCCATCCCCCTTAAAAACTGATCAGATTCATTAGACACAGACTTCTGCCGGCAGTAGCCAACCACCCAACAAAGCGCCGGGTCACCAAGCAGAAGGGTCACTGATCTTAACAGATTCAGTAGGTTACATACAAAAATGCAGCTCTTTGGGGGTTTTAGGGCTCCTCCTGCCCTGCTCGAGCATTACAGGAACGTGGATACTCGCAGCAGAAAGGAGAAGTGATGAAGCACAAGACTGGCCTTGCACAAGCAATGGGGTGAGGGCTGAAAATCAGCAGCACTGTTGCACAATCACTGGTCGTAAGGGAAAAGCAACTGTCCGTCCCCCCCGAACCCCCATGGGCTTGGTGTCTGGCTGCACCCAGATGATGTACGGGCACCTCCTGTGTTCTTAGGGGTGACCTGAGTTGGTTCGAGCGGGGCAGCAAGTCCTCGAGGAAAAACAAGGCATAAAATCCCCCCAAATGGGACTTTCCCCATACCCCCCCTGCAGCGCACCCCACTACAGACCCCTTGCACCCCAGCACACCCCCATGTCCCCCCTTACTGCACCACGGCAGGGGGCTCCCCGTGTCGCTCATAGAGC